TAATAAAATACTCTTTAAATTACATTCTTGAAATATAAATGACCTCAAATTTATATCAGTAACCTACTTTAACAATATATCTTGTTAACATTGACAAGTTTACTTGATGTGTTAAAACACTATCTTAAACCATAAAGAACTCACCTTTTTCTTTTATTTATTCTTTTGTTCGATATTTAGTTAGTCGTATCTGTGTGATCCTATCTAAATACTTTGGAACTTTTCTGCAATTCTGTGTAAATTGTGAGCGTTATTTAGTTTATTTCTTTAAATTGTCTGCTTAGTGCTTGACAATATATATGTACCACTAAGCTTAGAGAATAGAATAGCCTTTTTTAACAATTGGTCTCCTTTAGAAGTAGAGGGACATATCAATATAATTGTGAGGGATTTCAATACTAACTTAAATCCAAACAAAAACTGCATAAGCCAAGCTGAGATACAAAGTGATCTCTCAAGAAAATTAGTAGAAAACTTAATGCAGAATTTTGAAGACTCTGCTATTTTCTCAAAAGAATCACCCTTTATCACTTTCCACCAATATATACGCAACAACCAGCTAATAGCCACACGTCTGGATTATATCTTCATTAATACAGACCAAGCCTATATATGTAAAAATACCTGCACTCGTTATAGTAACTCTAATCACCTTTTAGTTGAGAATGAACTTGCACTTAAAGAAGTACATAGAAACTCCTGTCTCTGGAGATTCAAAAGAAAACTTGGACTTCTTCCTGAAATCAAAACAGACATAGACAATGAACTTAGAGAGTTACAAGATATAAAAGAATAGGACTTACATAAATGCTTTATTCAATTAATTATTAAAGCACACAAACCTAAGTCTCCTCCAGAAAAGTCTATTCACAGAATCCAGAGAAAACTTTTCAAGATCAACAACAGTTTAGCGAAAAATCCAAATCTCTCTGAACTCCATCTAGTGGCAGAAGATCTTAACTCTCAACTTCAAGAACAAACAACAATTCTATCCGAAAAATGGCAAACAAGATCAAATGCAAAATAGATCGAAGAAGAAAAAAAATCAACTAAATGCAAAAACAACAAACACAACACAAGTAAACAAAACAAACATGTACAATTACGTGAATACAGAAGATCAATTAAGTATTACAAATCAATCTATGAACCAATTAACTTCTGGCTCAACAGCAAACCCTATACAGGAAAAATTGCAAGACAAGCCACAAACAAAAAAATGGTCTGAATTATTTCTTAAATTCAAGGGTGGAAAAGCTACCTTCACTAGCTCCCTCCCAAAACCAAAGATTCACTCAAAGAATGATAATGCTCTTATACTGGATATACAAAACATGAGCAATATCATATCAAACGATATCGTGGCAGCTCTTGCTACAAAACTAGGAGAAGATCTAATGGCAGCAAAGTTTCATTTTTCTAAAAGCAAACGTTCTTTCCTGGAAGTAATCTTTCAAAACAAAGCTAGTCTACAAACTTATATCACAGAGGGGATATATCTTTTTAAACAAACTCTCTTTGGCTTCTTACCAATTAATCTAAGATAAACCTTTCTTGCAGTAAAACTCAAAAATATTCTATTAGGCAATCCTAAACATATCAATAATCTCATCTTAGAAGCATTTTAAGACTTTGAAACAATCACCTCAATTAAACCCCTTTTCTTTGAAAGTACCACTATACTATCAGACTAATGGTTAGTTACCTTTGAAACAACAGACGACCCTGATGTAATGTAAAGATTACCTAGAACTACTCATATAGACTATTACAAAGTTATGATGGAATAGAGGGATATACCAAAAGTTTGCTTTTATTGTGAAAAAGAAGGCCACATCAAAAAGGAATATGAAGAATTAAAAGCCTCAATTGAATTCAGAAAAAAACAGAAAGACCTTAGGCTTCTAAGAGAGAAACAAAGAACAGCTGAAGAAAATAATCACCAAGAAAACTTCAGCCCAGAAAATCCCTACATTAATGACATGCAAATATTCTCTGAACCTACAGAAACATCTCCTGCTAAAACCTCAGAAACTGGAAGTCAAAACACAGATTCTCCAAATGAAGATAATTCAGCAAAAGCTACTACAGAAATTGCC